TGATCGATTTCTCGGAACCGGTGTGAACGGGAAGGGCTGCTGGAATGTCCGGGGATGGGTGGGAGATGTGTGGGGTTTGGCTGGGCTGGGGACGTAAAGTCCCTTTGGTGGGATGGGCTCAGAGCCCTGGCACGGCTGGGGAAAGGGGGCTGGGTGGGCTCTGGGCACCAGACAGGGGTCACTGGGCACTGGGCAGCAACCCAGGGTACTGGGCAGGCGTAACTGGGTACCAGAAAAGGGTCCCAGGGTACCGGGCAGTGGTCCCTGGGAATTGGGCAGTGGTCTCAGGGCACTGAGAAGGGGTCCCTGGGCACTCAGAAGCAACTCAGGGTATTGGGCAGGGGTCACTGGCACCAGGAAGGGGTCCCTGGGCATTGGGCAGGGGTCCCTGGGCATTGAGAAGGGGTCCCAGGGTACTGGAGAGGGGTCACTGGGTAGTGGACAGGGGTCACTGGGTAGTGGACAGGGGTCACTGGGCACCGGGCAGTGGTCCCAGGGCACCGGGAAGAAGCCAAGGGTACTGGGCAGGGGTCCCAGGGCACCGGGCAGCATCCGGAGGAACCGAGAAGCAACCCCAGGGTGCCAGGCAGCCTCCCGGGGATACCGGGCAGTGTCCCGAGGCACCGGGGAGCAGCCCAGGACACCGGGCAGTGACCCCACGGCACCGAGCAGCCTCCGGGAGAGCCTATCCCCGCCGGTACCGGCGGCTCGGGGAGCTCAGGGCTCCACCCGGACCCCGTCCCGCCCCACCCGCGGGGCTCCGGACCAACTCCGCACCCGCCGCCACCTTTATCACCGCGGGCCGACCCCGATCACACCCGGCAGTATCGGCGGCCGCAGTCCCGGGTGGGGAACGGTCCGAGCGGCCGCTCTCACCGARCCCGAGGCCGCCACCTACAACCCGCCCCGTTACCGAGCCGTTACCGAGCCGCCGCGGGTACAGCCGCGCCGGGGCCGCGCTCCCGGGCTCGTTCCCGCTGCGCTGCCGGGGCCGGGCCGGACCGGGGCCGCTCCCGCCGTCGCTACGGCAACCGCGCCCCTCACCCGGTACCACCGGCCCCGCCCCGCGCCGGCCGACCAATGGCAGCGCAGAGCGCGGGGAGCGGACCAATCAGCGACCGAGGGGGGCGGGACTAAGAGACGCGGCGGGACGGGGCGGCGCCGGGGTCAAAAAAGGTTGAAAGCGGTTGGTTCGCGGCGGGGGAGTGTTGAGGATAGTCCCGGGACCACCGGGACCCCCGGGTGTTGTCTGCGGCCTCTCACGAGAGTCACG